AAAAAATAATTTTTGTAAATGGGCATGTGGAACACACTAAAATTTGAATTGTTTATTCTGTAAGTAATCAAAGAAGTTGAAAATTGTATAGACAGCTGAAACATTACATGAAGAGCTACCAAAAAAATTGCATTTAAATCTTTTAGCAACTCCCTCTAACTACCCTCTTTTAAGTCATCCACCATTTTGATTTTCCTTCTCCCTCGTTTCTTTCTGCCTGCAACCATTCCTTCCATAACATCATTCCATAAGCTTTCCTCTCAAATTATGTCCCATCCAATTAGCTTTTTGCCTCTTTATTGTCTCTAATATGCTCCTTTTTTTCACCCACTCTTCTTAGGACTTTCTCATTTCTCACTTTATGGCTGTGAAGAAGAATAGAGAAAGTCGGATGGAGCAATATCTCCAGGGCCTCTATTCTCCTAATGTCATATTGTCTCAATGTCCACACCACAGAGGAAAACACTTCAGATATAGCATTTTACCAGTCTTTTACTCAAATCTAACTTCAGAGCACCCAGGTATCTAAACCCGTTTACTTGTTCCACTTTGTCACCATTTATATGAATGTTGACTGTTCTTTCCTTTTTCTCCAATCCAAAGCATTTGATTTTGTTAACATTAATTTTTGTAAATATAAATAAGTAAAAATTAATTTTGGGGATTAATTTTTGTTTTGAAGGCTACACATCCCTCTCTAGTCTGCTCAGGACCTTTCTCATTTTATACTCACTCTCTGTCAAAACTGCCATATTGTCAGCATACCTTAGGCACTGAATCTGCCTTCCCCTGATTTTAATGCCTTTCTCTTCCTCTGGATATTCCATAATCATCTCTTCCAAGTATATGTTGAAAAAGAAGCAGTGATAGGCAACACCCCTTTACAATCTTGATTTCCTCGGGCTATGTCCTACATGGCAGCATCCAGCAACCACAGGTGGAAAAAATCTTTGTACATGCGTTCAACACGCGAGTGACTTCTGTCCAGAGTAGACGCATGTTGTTTACAAAATGGCAGTGAGACGACTTCGTCGAATGCTTGCTATGGAAAATATGACAAGCATTAAAACAGTAAAATTGGCAGGTAATTGTTATCACTAATTTGTATCACTAATATTTGTAGTGTATCACTAATTAGATACACTACAAATATAAAGAATCTTCATAGAATAATAAGTTAAAAAAAGTTTTATTTTTAAAACCTTACATTTACAAAATCAGAAATTATCAAATTACATAAAAGATTATTAATTAAAGTACATACAACATTTATACACAATTTATTTGTCATTCTGTTTTAATTCATCTACAAAATCAGCCATTTTATTTGTTGGAAGCGCAAGCAGTGAAAGCGGTAATCAAACTTCCTTGGTAGCTGCTTCTTGCATTTGTGTGTAGAAGCATCATCTGGTGGTTGCTGCACACTAAATGCAGTTACTCTGAACACATACATTTGCTTGAATTAGTCCGTTTGCTCTGCTTGGAAGCACGTTCACACTTGTGGTCACTGGACATTGCCACATAGGATAGCCTCACTGTATTGACCATCCACTCTGACCATAACTACTGTTCTCTGATATTTGTACAAGTTTAGTATTAATCTCCTGTCCTTACTTACAGTCTATATATTTTCTTTCTCAAAATGTCCATCAATCTTTTCAGTCAATTTTGTCAAATGCTTTCTCTAGATCTATAAAACACACCAACATTCCCTTTCTTTTTTCAATGTATCATTCTCCTATGGTTCTCAGCATCTCTTTTGCATCATAGTGCCTCTCTGTCTTTCTGAACCCAAACTGTTATTCCCTTATGAATGGGTTCAGTTTTCCATAGAGGCATTTCTCTAATATTCTTAAAAGGATTTTTGAGATATGGCAGATTAGGCTAACTGTTCTATAATCTTCACATTTGATTCTTTTTTCTTTCTTTGGAATGGGAATTAAAATATTTCTCAGAAAGTTGACAGGCCATGTGTCTATATCATAGATCACATTGCAAAGCCTAGCAATTTTCTTAATTCCATTTTTTCCCACATTCTTGATGAATTCTATAGGAATGTTATTGGTACTGTACTAGTGGTGCAATGAATAGTATATTCGGCTTCAGGCTGAATACCGAATATTCAGCCAAACTATTCGGCTTGATTAACGCATGTATGAAAAGTGGTGCGCAAACCACATTATGGCAAGGATCGCGCACCCTACTCTTTATTGGCCCACTGTCACTACGCTTTACCAATCATGTTAATTCTTGACAGTTGTAGCAGACAGACACAAGCATCATGGCAGTATGTGATAAGTGATGATATCAAATGTGGATAACAATGAAATGACCTACACGTGTAAATAAACAGAAAAAGAAGAGAGAAGGACCGCAAAGTGAAAATGTGAAAATAAATATGAAATTGAGTTGATAACATAATCGAACGAGTCGAGGCAGCTTATTGGCGCGAAATTCGCGGCCGTCAATGTCAAATAATTGTTCTCATAGATTTTGTTAAGCTAAATGCTTGTAATGAAAGTCACTTAGCATGCACGGGCGAAAACCTGGGGCTGTTCGGGCTACCAAGCTATCTGGAACTTCAGTTATGATAAATAATTTTATACAATGAAACAAAAAAGTTAATTTTCAAGTTTATAATAAGGAATGATTTCATAAAAACGCTTTGCAGATCATTAATTATTATTATTTTTTCCATTTTATGACCTAAGTTTCGATCTAATGTGCCCACACAGTAAACATTTTCATACAAATTTTTTACCGTTTTCACCCCTTTAGATTTGAATTTCATAAAATCTTTTCTTAGCAGGCCTAAACTTTACAAAAGGAACACACACTCAAATTTTTAAGTTTCTAGCAGCAGTAGTTTTGGCTCTGCGCTAATTATCTTATCATGACTTGTTCTTTTATATACGAGTATATAAATGACCAAACTACATAATAAGTAGGTAGTTTTCATTTGATTTGTTACCTTTTTTTTGATCTCTTAAAAGAATAACTTAGTTATATTACTTTTCCTTTGATCTTTTACATAAATAAGCAAAAAATTGTGCTTTCTCGAACTTAAAATGTATGTTCAGCGTTAATAAAAGTTACCAAAATGATTACTTTACTATGTTTTTGTTATTTCTTACTCCTTTTTTAGGTATTTGGTATTCAGCCAAATAGTGATTACATATTTGGTATTCAGTCGAATAGCAAAACATAGGCCAAATACCAAATAGTAACCGAATATTTGTTGCATCATTATACTGTACCTTTTGATTTTCTATTTCTTAATCTTTCTACTGTACTCATAAGTTCTTCCATCAAGATTGGAGCTCTTCCTCCTATCTTTAGCCATATCATTTTCTTCTATCTATGTTATTTTCTGCTCTGTACAGATCACTTATGTATTCGTGCAATCTGTGCAGGATCTTCTTTTCATTATTTATACTCTCTCCATTTCTGTCACTAATAGTTACTCTCTTAGCCTTTCTGAAATAGAATGCATCCTTAATTTTATCATGCATTGGGTCAAATCTTTTTGACTTCTCCAGACTCAATTTCTATACATTCTCTTTCAAACCACACTTTTTTTGGCTTGCTTGATGCACCCTTCGCTTATTGTTCAGTTCTCTGTATTTTAATCTTCTTTCTTCAGAGTTCATATTCTTCCACCTTCTTTATTAATTTTATTAACCATTTCCTCCATCAAATCTTTTCCTTCATTGATATTCACAATTCATTTGGTCCTCAGCATCCACTTCATTTATTTTCTTAATTTTTTTATTGAGATACTAATCTAAACATTTCACTATTCCTTTTTAAATTTTCTAAATCCCATTTCTCACTTGTCTTTTTTCTCTTTGTGATCTTCTTGAAACTCATTTTGAGTTTTGTGAATAAGAGGTTGTGATCTAAGTCTGTCTACACCTGGACAGGTGCTTACATCCATAATAGACTACATACTAATTAAAGAGAGATACGGGAATTCTATTTCGTGTCTGTTGTCCCAGATCTTTCTATGTATATAATTTTCTCTTATGCTTTTGAAACCATGTCATATAATCACCACACTATGTTCTTTGCTGAAATCAATCAACCTTTCTCCTCTCCTGCTCTTGTTTCCTAATCCATGTATTCCTATAATATTTTCCTCTCTTGTGTTTCCCACCACAGCATTTCAATCTCCTAATAACAATAGACAGGCATTTCTTTCTTCCTTTTCCATAATTTCTTCCACTTGTTCATATATTAACTCAACTTTTTCATCTGAATGAGAGCTGGTAGGCATATATATTTGAATGAGTATCAGATCTTTTGATTCTGCTTGAATTCTGACTATTATGATTTTGTCATTTATGCAATCAACTTTAATTGCCCAGAATGTAAATTCACTTTTCAATGCTATTCCCATTCTATTGCTTTCCTTCCACTTGAAAAGTAAAGCTCGATATTATCGCTCACTAATTCTCCAGAGTCTTTCCATCTCACTTAGTTCTACTATGTCGAATTTATTTATTTTCATCTCATTCTTCAGATTTTCCAGCTTTCCAGCCTTCCTTAAGGTCCTCTCATTCCAAGTTCCAATTCTCAAGTGTTTCTGTGGAGGGTTTACAGGCTGACAATCTGGGAAGCCCATTCTTTCCCCTACTGAGCAAGGTTTTGCAGTTGGAAATTTTTGCAACACTAATGTCATTCATGTCTCTATTTTGTGTTATGCTCATCTTACTAGGGAGATTGCTACATTAGTAATAAAGCATAGCAGTTTCCCACTGCTTACTATGCTTAAGTATAAATGTGTTTGAGCTTAAAACCGGAAATTTAATTAAAAGTTAATTAAAAGTACATTCACTAACCTCTACTATTATTATTATTGAATTATCACTTATTATTGAAAATTTATTGCCAGTTCTGTAGTTTAAGCAGTTTGGATAACTTTCATTGTTTTCTTTGATTATAAATTATTAATCTATTTTTAATATTGATTAGACTTTAATTGTAGGTTTTTATTTCAGATTAAGATCCATACCAGGGATTTTTATATTTGGAAAACCACAGATGAGTGTAATTGCACTTGGTTCTAAAGAATTTGATATATTTTGTTTGATTTCTCTACTGAATGAACGTGGTTGGAATTTAAATAATCTCCAATATCCATCTGGATTTCACATATGTGTTACATTACAACACACTGAAGAAGGAATTGCAGATTCTTTTTTACATGACATAAGAGAATGTACTGCTTTGATAATGAAAGATCCCAAATCTCCTGCAAAAGGAATGGTGAGTACATAATAATTTATGGTTAAGAAACTATTGCATAACTTAAAGGAGATTTTGCAATTGACAATATAAACATTTCAATTCTATCTGATTTCTGACTTCAATGTTATCATTTTTTATTTTTACATTCAGTTGCTTCAGTTAACATGCAGTATAAATTACAAAATTATTGGCACCATATTGTAAAACTAGAAATTCATGTTGCTTTTTTAGATAGCCAAATATTTTATATGTAAAAATAATTTAATATTTAAGCCTGTTGTCTTATGGCAAATTAAATTTCTAGCCATAGTTGCCTTTATTGTAATACAGTGGAATAGATTAATGTAGTCAAAAACAGTTAAAATATCCAGATTGATTTCAGACAAGGCTTTAATACTTTACTAAATTAACTTAAGGCATTCTTCATTGAATATGAAATTTAAATTATATAGTAGTTTGTTTTTTATGTAAGGAGCCTTCTAATAAAATGGTTAGTGCAAAGATTCTCCAGTACTAGAAGCCTAGTACTAAATATTTTAGATAATACTGAAGTTTCAGTACCCAATGGCAACAGGAGATTAAATTACACTTTCGAACATCAAACCACATGTAAGCTTGCAACATACTAACATCCAACATATTTATGTGGAGAATTATTTTGAATATGTAATGTTTGAATATGTTTTTGTTCATTTAAATTTAAATATTAAAATTAGCATATAGAATTGAACAATAGTTTATATTTCAAGAATTTTCTTTAACTGAAACTGGCTTAGGAAGGCCAAAAACTTTTAAATGCCATGTAATAAATTGTCTAGAGAAATCCAAACTGGTAGCCAAATATTTCAACATATAAAATAAATTAATTGTATCATGAAATATTTATTATGCAAATTTTATACTGTATTCAAATACACTGGTAAAACAATTAGGAGAGCAAGAAGTGTTGCATAGAAAATCATTTACAGCAAACACTTCCAAATGTCATATATTAATTTTACATAAACCACAGTAAAATAGACAGTAATATGTGGGAAAAAAATGCCTTTGAGCTAAATTGTTGAGATATATTCCTTTGTTACATTTCTTGCAATATGCTGATCAACAATATGTGCATCTTCACAACCAGAACAAATGACAGTTCTCGCAATATGCCAAAAAAAACTATTGTGTAATTGTTGTCAGTTTCAACCATAAATACAGTATTACAAGAAACAGCATAGTACCCTCCACCTTGGATCAAGGTCAGAATCCAAGATGCCCGTAAACTGAGGTCACTACTCGTATATTGTAGTGCAATTATAAGCAAATTTCCAAATAAGTTATTTATTGTTGCAGTTTCGGATTTCTGTTTTTTTTTTCATTGTACAGCTTTATTTCGACCTTCTAGCATAGTGAATACAAGTATATTTTGCATATTTGAGTCTATAGTACCATAATTATGAGGAATAAGATTGCATGAATAATAAATGATGATAAGATGAATAATAAATGAAGAGGTGCCATACAAAGCAAACAAATCCACAAAAAATCAAAGTTGAGTTTAGAATTGATTATTTTTTTCAGCCTCATTCCTATCTACTGTTATAGTCAGTTTCATTCAAAAAAAATACACAACCATCACTTTTTGAGCTTTGAAAATCGACATTCTGTGCAAAAATAACATAGTAATTGCAATGGCCAACAAACATAGCCAACAATCATAGCTTTTCATTGGCTGAGGCAGACTGCAATGCATGCCTCAGCCAATGAAAAGCTATGATTGAGTCACTTGACTCCCAGAATGCAAGAGGTAGTTTTGTTTTGTTGTCATTTTGCTGTTCTGTCGGAACAGAGATTTTGGTGTTAAATTGTTGTTTGAAATACACTGTATAATAAATTTTGTACTAATAGTGTTATAATTGAGTGAAAAATGGATGAAGATGGTTTGATAAGTATAGAAGGCAATGTTGGAAAGAAATCTAAAATTGTTGGAGTATGGGTAAAGAAGAAAATACAAAAATACATTGCTCCTTTGTGGTATAACTCTTTCATACCATGTCACCATAACAACAAATGGTTTAAGTGCTACAAAGTCAGACCATCATCAGATGCAGCTACATTAAGAAAATCTATCTCTGAATTTCCAGATAAGTATGAACAAGATTGTAAAATAAGTTCATACCTAAGTTTTAATAATGTAAAGAAAAGATGACCGAAGTATCAACTTCAGGCCAATAATCCTAACACTAATTTAAAAACACATGAATTTAATGTTAAATATAGCATTTTCAACAGTAATGGAAAAGTGATTCCTGTCTGCAAAAAATTTCTTATGCACCTAACTAGAGTAAAGGCAAAGATTGCACAATATAGCTAAAAAGGTAATGGAAATGTGGAAATGGCTCCTGGTAGAGATCACACTAACTACAAATCAGTAGGCAAAAAAGTTGCTGTTCAAGAATTTTTGAGAAAATTGAAAGGGCAAGAAAGCCACTACAATTGCAAAAAGTCTAAGTAAATTTACTTGCATTCCGATCTCAACATGACAAAATTGTATAAGATGTACGATAATTCTGGAATAGCATTACAAGTGAAGAAGTCTGTGTTTTGTAGAGTATTTAGTGAATTTAACATTGGTTTTAAATCACTGGCAAGTGACATTTGCAGCTACTGCAATAAAATTGACTTTTCTGGACTGGCAGTTTTTTCCTTTAAATGCAATTCCTATCAAAAACTGCCTTCAAATATTGATGTTAGATACAAAATGAAAAATAATAATAAACTTTAACAGGTGTGGGGTTTAAAATAAATTCAGTAACAGTTTTTTGCGTTTTCCCAACATGGCACCTCCTCAAATGTAGACAAAATGTACCGTTTTATCTACTGATGCAAAAGGTTTTTTGTAACTTATGTTATCACAATCTTACAAAATGTCTGAAAATAAAATTTGTTCTATCGTCTGACTTTGTCACGATTTTTATGCGTAAATTTTTTAAATTTATAATTAAACCGGAATCTTTTAAAATCTAATTTACTTAATTCGAAAGTACTTCTAATGGCTTAAATTTTCATATTGCTATTAAATATAATTTTCAAAAGAAAAGAAACCATTAAAGCTAACGTTAAACCAATGGCTAGATGGTCTCTTCAGTAGTGCACGTAATGGTGAAAATTCGCCATTTTGTTGAGAGATTAAATAATATCTATAGGTTGGGGACATAGCTCAGACTATGCTTTCCTAACTAACCCAGAGGAGTGACGTCAAGAATAGAAGTCAACTAACTTGCAGAATTAGAGAGGTTGAGGCGCACGTTTTAAACGTATAAACGTGTACGTGTGACGTTCGGCGCCGCTTTCCCGTAAGCCTAAAAGTTTGACGATGGTGTTTGGAATGTCGAGCGTGATTCCACCGACATTCCAAACATCATTGTCAAACTTTTAGGCTTACGGGAAAGCGGCGCCGAACGTCACACGTACACGTTTACACGTTTAAAACGTGCGCCTCAACCTCTCTATTAACTAGATTAGAAGTAACTGCAGAAAGCTTGCAGTCAGCTAAATAGGGTGCAGAGTTAGCCTACTGATCTTCGATCAGTGACGTCATTTAGGCTATACAAGAATTTGCGAGAAATTGGCAATAGACACATCTTTCGTATAATGTTGCCTTTCCTCATTGAACGGCCATCTTAGATTTGACCTTGATCCATGGCAGACAGCTGTTGCGCACCTTATTTACTATAACGCTCATTAAATGCAGGTTGGGAGACTCACTCACTCACAAACAACTATATAAAAACAGTCTAGTTATGAATTTAGCATTTAGAAATAAGTATTTTACGTTACAATTATATAAATTTGTGGTCTCCGTTTCCATTTGAAATATTCTATCGCATGGCCGTAACAGATTGGAAGTTAACCGTCATTCATACTGATGGTAGCGATAACGAAACTCACTAGTTACGCGTGCAGTTATATGGTTTATTATAATATTGGTTAAGTTCTATCTTCACGAACGTAGAAACAATTTTAAAAATACTTTTGACGATGCCTATTTTAAACACTAACGCTCGTTTTTGGTGTTGAAACGAATTTAAAATTATTTTAGAAGCAACTTGCGCCAAAATGAAACTAGTAACCTATGGTTGTTATTCATTGAATCAGATACATCATAATTTATTGCATCGGTTAAGAGAAAAGCCAGAAAAACTATTATTTTTAATCTAAATTTGTACCGATTTATTTTTAAACTCTGTCTCTATCCCATATTATGGTATATATTTCACTGTTATATTTTGTTCCAAATTATGGTTTGCACAATGGTTTAAAAAGTTTAAATGAATTTTATGTACAAATAATCATTTTTATGCAAGATTGTATAATTACAATATGTTTAAATAAACTTCTAAAGAAAACACTTGACAGAGAAAAAGAGCATGTTTGGCTAAATCTTAACCTGTGTGTCAATTAAGTTAATTGGGTGTGGTTTTGATTTCCCTGCATTTTGCTGTTTTACTGCTCATATATCAAATGACAACGACTGCAAGGATTTCAAACCAGTATAAAATTAAAGCTTTCGTTATTGATAAGTTGAAGTAAATAAAAACAAGTTTTACATAAATATATTAATTAAGCCTATCTAAATATGGGACAGAGATAGTAATCATTTTTGGTTGTACTTTTCTGTTTATTTTTGTTCGATTTATTTTTAAACAACAAAACTTTTCTAAATGTAATGTTAATTTTATTAGTTTTCATCCAAATATAGACTTTATTTCAGTTAAATTTATCAATATTTTTTGTATTTAAAAATAAACGTTTGAAGCAAAGTTTTTACTTTGTTTCTTTTGCCGTCCTGCCAAAAAGTCAGGTCAAGTCAGTACAAATTGCCCTGGGCACGAGGAATTAGTGGCCCCTATACAATGTTTTTTCGTTTATTTCTTAATTGTTATAGTGCCCCAATACGTATTTTGTTCCAGGTTCTCGTTCCAGGACTGCCCTACCTTTTGGGGCCTCATAATAGAGAGGTTGCAGCACAA